CAGTGCACAGGGGCCTGCTCTGTTTAATCTGAAGGCCCCGAGCAAGTTTAATTTACCTGGCAACGCAAGCTAGCTGAAATATGATTGGTTAAAAACTCTACCATAATAAATAAGTTATTTATCAGTGGCTTTCAATGTTATTTAAAATAACAGCCACTCAACTAAGTGGAAATAATATATTATTATTTCCATATATTATTAATATATTATTATTATTAATATATATAATAATTTTGTTTACATATTTATGAAATAAAAAAACATAAATTATAAAATAACATAAAATACATAAAAGTAAGTTTACTTTTCTGAGAATGTTTAGGCCAGCAGAGAAGGCCTTGCTGGCCCTCAGGGTCCGCCACTGAGTGGTATTTCAGACTCGATGTGCTATGATGATAGCTCAGTTTACGACTGCAAAACATACAGGTAACTTTGGTCTTGTCAGTGGAACAATCTGGCAACTTTTTAAAAGTAAACTTTCCATTCATAAACTATTTTAGTATCCGTTTTCGGTGTCTCGCAATGCCGTGGCTGGCAAAACAAACGTGCGTGGACCTGATTAAGAAAAAATAAGAACTATATGTGTATGTGTAGCGCTGATGCCACTGAACATTTTGAGTGGTTGAAAGTAAAAAAAAAATATTCAGGAATAACTTAGGGTAATACTTTTACAATTTTTGTAAACTTTGTAGTTGCGTCATTTAAAATTATTTACATCGACTGCAGCACAAGGGGTAAACTAGCGAGGCCACATAAAACGTAGTGTAAAGAAGATTTCTGACTTGACTTCTCCTTTTAGGGTCTATAGCACCGCCAACTTGATGCGGAACTTTAGACCGTGCCAATGGAGTTTATGCATTAGCATTAATTGTGTTGTTGAATCTCATCCAGGGCCTACTGTGAGGAGCTTGAACTGTACGTTCTCACAGTGCTTGCATGGGCTTCCTTGCATGCAGCCTATGCGTGAAAGTTTTAAGCGAGTTATGAAGCCAAAGGACACGCCCGTGAAAACGCCAGTCATCCATTGGTGAGAGAGGACAGTCAAAACAAGCAAAGGGCAGGTGTCAGTTTCAGCCTCTGTGTTCCCCTTTGCAAAAATTCACCTCTGAACTTTTCCATCTGTCAGCTGTCATTCAAGGATATCAATGCAAGCAGATGGTGAGGAGTGCCAAGCACATAGACTACTCACAGTAAGTTTGAGACTATCAGCTTTTGGGGTTGGAATTTCAGCACATTTCCATTAATTCTAAACTGGAGGGTTTTTTTTGTTTTTGTTTTTTTTAATGCATGGGCCCAACTGTTTCTGTTTCAGTACTTTTTACACAACTTGCAGTTCTCACAATGTGCTGTGAATGGCAACATTCAAAATGGGTCCAGTCCATGAATGGACCAGTGAAATTCACAGTTCAATTAGAATATATATTTAAAAATCTCCCCTTCATCACTCTGATCACCTTTTGGCATCCTGAGACCAAGACGACAACACCTAACAATTGATCAAGGATGTTCTTGGAGGGGAGTGGCCACTGAGGTGAGAGAGGCTTCAGCAGCCTTCAACACAAAAGGGGATGGGCGGGTACATCCTGGGAAATTGATTTGTTGATTCGTGGATCAAACATCTGTTTTGAAGTTTGCCATTCAGCTCTTCATTAGACAGCAAGTTGTGTAAAATGCACCGAAACGTTCACAGTTGGACATTTGCATTCCAAAGTTTGGAGAAAGTCAAATTCTGTGAAGGTTATACAGAGCTGTCCTGATTTTTGCTTTGCCACGCGAACAAAAATTTGAGAGCTTGTTTGTGGCAGTGAACCCAATTCGCAGCAAACAACGGTTTGGCAGATTCATATGAAGAACAACCCTCCCTCCCCACAAAGGCTTGAAGCTTTTTAATGCCACTCCCAATTGAAGTTCACCATCAAACTAACCAGAGAGAATTACACATCAAGTATTTCAAACAACCACATAGCTTCCTTTGCCTTGGGAAAGTGCATCTTAAAGTTAAAAAAACAATGCCAAACTCTATGGCCAAATTAACAAATCGCCTCACTGTTTCAGGTGCTGTTGGCATTTAAGCAACACATTTGAACAAACACAAGACCACCACTCACGGACATATTCATTATTCTTTGCAAAACATGAATATTACTGCAGCTTACAGGGCTTCATGGTGGCTGTCTCCATCGACGGTGGACCCTCACATACTGTACTCTGTTCTACCATTCACTGTCACAGACTGGTGGGGTAGGTGATTGGGGGTCACCCTGATTTTCAAGGACAATATTTGTTGGGCTAACAGTTAGCCCAACAAGTATTGTTGTTTACCTGTTTTTCCACCAATGCATTTATCGTGGGCGTCAATTATAAAGATACACTATATTTTCGCAATTCGCTGGCCCACCCGGTCCCCATCCGTAAATAACGGGGTTCACTGTATTTCCGTGTTATACTGCCCCCAGGTGGCCAAGGTGCACACAACTCCAGCAATCAGTGGTTTATCAAATGGATGATAGCTAAACTACATCATCATCGAGTGCTGTTTTCCTTTATTATTTTTTTTTAAGTGAACAGATTGACCTCTTTAATTGATTTCAATCGGGAGAGACTTGAAACGTGTGCTTTAAGGTACAAATGTAATCATGAAATTATATAATTTTAAAGCACCACCACAGTGCATTTGTGGTTTATCTTGGAATTTGACAATAATAGCCAAACACTTTTATGAATAGTACAATACGTTAATGTAAATTAGTGAAGTTGTATTGTCCGGCTCGGTAAACTCATACTTTTTTTTTTAAAGTCTAAACATTCATCGAGCCTTATGTATGGTATTGAAAGTTGTAAAGCATATTTTGCCTTATTGTATTCATTTGTCTTTTCTTTTTAGTGCGTGCATTGATTTAGACTCAGCCAACGATGGAGGTAAAAGTCCAACTGGTATTTTTTTTGACTGATGCATCTGTGGGGAAAAACCATCTGATGGTGTTTTTTGTGAAGCAGGCGAAAGTGAGAAGACCTGGGCAGCAAGTGAGGCATGAAGGGCCGTGCCCAGTTGTCATACGATCCGACAGTGACAAGGAGGGTTGACCCATCTTGGAAAAAGTGGATATCTTTAGGGACAAATAGTCCACCACAAACTTCTTTGGATTATGTTGAAATGATCTAAAATTGCATCCACGTGTTTGTCATTCAAGTGTACAGTAGAAGCAGTATGTGCTTTAATTAACATCCCGTTCATTGTCCTTTTGTGTAATATTGAGGGTCTATTTTTTCCCATGTGTTTACCTGTTGATTTTGCAACCCATTTACATTTAATTAATTGAAGACAAGATTGTTAAACGGCATTAAATCACTGCAAGATTGTGACTGAGTGAAAACGTACTAAATAAAAGATTAATTCTCCTAGCAATCAAGACCAACCCTTGAATCACCTATTAGCAGGCAAGGGTTGCCATCTAGTGGTCATTCAATGACAACGGATTTCTTTCAATTAAGCGCCAAACGCGCGCATGCGCCCACAAACAAATGTATTACTAAATCATAAGGAATTGCTTCATTCTGTTTTGCCGAATCTGGCAGTCAAACTTATCACGTTATGTAATACCTAACTTGTTTTTTTCTGATGTAGCAGCAATAAGCTTATGCAAATATATTCATTTTACAGTCAGTGAGGATTAATGATTTCACAATCGCGGATGCCATACAAGATGTTTAATGTAGGAAAAAAAAACACTACAAATGTCAGAGAACAAACAACATTTTAAAAGCAACTGCTTAAAAAGACTTGCAACAATGGAAACCCAAAATAGAAACAAAGTGAAAAGTCCACAAACTGGTCTCAAAAGCAACCAACCTATAAAACATTTCTAACTACCACGGGAGGGATGTGGGTCCACGGAACTTGGCTCCAACAGCGTTGAAGGCCTGAGCTTCTGTTCTATTGGAGTGAGGCAAACGACAATGGCAAATGAAAAACACGACTTTCACACAACCGGCGATGTGAATGACTTACCCCTGAAGCACACAGGCCACTGTTGTTTGGCCCCAAATAAACGGAGGGGCTGCTTCGTCCAGCTCTGCATAACAAACAGAATCAAGTCAAAAGTCTGAGTGGAATCGCACAGCATGTACAGAAAGGCAAAGGCAGTGACTTGAGAATGGAGTTGCATCATCTTTTCTGATGCTTAATTCTATTCCCAACCATCACCATAAAAAATATCCATAATAGTGTACTATATAAAGGGTGGTTGACTGGTTAACACGTCCAGCTCAGAGTGCAGAGGTGCAATGCTCGATTCCGGCTCTGGCCTCCCTGTGTGGAGTTTGCAAGTTGTCCCCGTGCCTGCGTGGGTTTTCTCCGGGTACTCCGCTTTCCTTCCACATTCCAAAAACATGCATGGCAGGTTAATGGAATACGCTAAATTGTCCCTCGGTGTGAGTGTGAGGGGGGATGGTTGTTCGTCTATGTGTGACCGGCGATTGGCTGGCAACCAGTTCAGGGTGTCCCCCCGCCTACTGCCCAAAGACAGCTGGGATAGGCTGCAACACGCCCCGCGACCCTTGTGAGCGTAAGCAGATCAAAAAATGGATGGATGGATGGATGTACTTTAGAAAACCATACATAAAACAGAATTCAACAAACGTTTTTGCCACACGGCATGACCTGAACGGCCATTGTGCTCCACCTGGATGCAGTATAGAACCGACAGATGGACATATTTCATAGTTCATTTAGACACCAACTCATCTCAGCTCACCAGTAGGGCACTAATATCAGTCTTTTATACGTATAGGATAAAGGTTATGATTGACTCAGGGACATGTGGTCATTGCAGACAGAGCATGTCAAGAGTTTAAAAAAAAAAAAAAGTTTTTTTTTTCCCATTTTAGTTCCCTGCTCAGTGCTTTATATTCATGTTTTTTAAACATGAATATAAAGCACTTTTGAATCCTTAAAATAGCTGAATTTGTGTTTGCCTGTTCATATACGCGGACGAGATGGGAAGAAGTCTTGCGCCCTGAGAAAATCAGTCTTAGCAAGAAAAAAAACAAGTCTTACAAATTATTATGCCAACACAAATCTCATCAAGAGTTATATTTGCCAAGCTCTAACATTTTCTCACCGCTGAATATCTCACTCCAAGGGAGAAATAGTGACACATTTCTTGTTTCACACAAATTTAAGCTTTTAGAAGGCAAACTAGCGGGGGTCAGAAAGAGGATGGACATGTTTCCACAACATTTTGGGAAACTTCCCTCAAGTGAAGATTTTAGGTAAACAAGTTCATTTGCGTCTGTGGTTATTTTCAACATAGAGTGTAACTATGTTTTATGCTTAGTTAGACAGTGAACTTCAACTGGGAGTGGCAATAAACGTCTTGAAGCTTCTTTATGAAAAATTGGTCACTATCGGCCAAAAGTTGCTTGCTGTTAAATGAGTCGAGTTTTACTGCCACCACATAGCACCTGTGTCGACAATTTTTACTCCCAAATCAAAGTGAAAAAATCTGCCAAATGACAGCTTGCATCTCAAAACTAAGTCTAAAAGAGATTATGAGAGGCATCCCTAACTCGGAAAAACTCACAAGTTGGGGTGCTGCATAAGCAAGTTACAGTACAACTGCAGTTTACATGCGTGTCATTGAAAAGTGATTGGAACCGTTTTCAATCTTACCCTTTTCCCAGTCTTCGGTCACGGCTGCGGTGAACTGGGATCTGACCGGAACGTCCCATTTCCGTTCAGCTCCAACTGCGAGCAAAACGGACATCAAGTCAAAAGCCACACGCCAAACCACACAAAGTTGTCATCTTACCATCCTTTACGCCCACGGAAACCCTGTTGGGGCAGGTTTCAGTGTGGCGGGCCAGCTCATGCCTTGGGAGCAGGTGGCAGGCGTTAAAGGGGCAGGTTTTGAGCTCCTTGGCCAGTTTCGGATGGTTCTGCATCAGTAAGAGATGAGTCGCGGTTAACCTACAATCAACTGTGCATTCAGGCTGATGTCTTTGCGAGGACAGTAGACAGGCACCTAAACTTTAAATATCTGGAACAAAACCCTCAACATGAATAACATTCAGACCCACGATAGCAGTTTTACTTTCTTTTCACCTGTCATCTGAGATTTAATGACACACTTAAGTTGACACATGGTTGTTTGGGATTTTGGCACGACAGTGCCACAGGTCTAGGAAATGAATAGAATGTCCCACGTACCCCCTGCAATGTGCTCACGTACCCCTGGTTGGGAAACACTGAATTATAGAACACCCAAGAAAGGGAAAATGGTATTGAACATACTTCAATGCTTTCAAATTCACATTACTGTCTGAGGGAGTTGCATCATCGTTTTCAGCACACCGACAACTCACATGTCCGTAAATAGCAAGGGGAAGGGGAGAGAGAGAGAGATGCATTTTCAAGATGCAAGTACTGTTATAAAACTACTAGCTTCAATAACACTGCCAAAACGGATTGCGGAGAAGTATGCATTCAAAGTCAACACCAGATTATGTGACGGCAGGAGGTCCCCAAATGTAATCGTTATATTTATAAACAATGGACATTACAAATGTTGAGTTTTGCCACTACAGCATTAGTCGAGTAAAAAAAGAAAAAAGCAAAAACAAAAAACTAGGAATGGTTTTTAAAAAATGCATTTTTGTGGAGTGAAGCCTAGAAAGACAATTTTTTTAAGTCAAAAACCAAGTAGCAAATTTCTGAGAGACTCATTTTTAAATTAAAATAAGTCAAATGGTTGTCAATTTTACTAAAAACAGTAACACAACATTCCTACTGTTAAAAACACACTTCCAATTCGGTGGCAAAAGCAGGTGTCTTTTTTTCTTTAAGTAGAGTTGTTGGCATCTGCTGAATGCAACAACAGTAACTTATACGATGCGTATGTGGAACTGGGAGTCGCGGCTTGGAATTGAAGCGTATTTACATGGGACAGGAGAAGAGAGCCAATCTCTCATTTTTGTTAATGGATGCTACAGCTTCTTGTTGCTTTCCAGCTTAGCTTGTAGCAGACGTGTGCACATTCCACCATGACGTCTTTGATCCACTGATGAAAAGGACACTTTGATTTGCTCCTCTTTCATCTTTTACTGCTTCAAACAACAAAGTGAATGGAGGAAAAGTGGTTAAGATGGCACGACTGTCTGTTTTAATGTGTTGTATTATTTTGTCATTTGGTGTTAAGTGTCCTTTTGATGGCGGCGCGGGCACCCGCAGCGGCTCCTCTTGTTGTCTGTTTAAGAGGGAGAAAATTTCAACAGCACATTTGACAACAAAGTTGTACTTGATCCTTGATTATAGTCTAATATACATTTTAAAGCAAGTAACAAAGTTACTTTTTCAAGGTAACTGTGGCGACACTGCAAAGAGTGGCGTGGCCGAATGGGGGCAGTGTGCTGGGTTGTGCAACGAGTTGGTGACTATTTTTGCTGCCATGTAATTTGAATGGCAGGGGAAGAGTGTCGCAACATCACAGATGTGATGGCCAATCAAAAAATACCATGTTACATCACATGAGGCTTGAAGTCTGTATTCTGCTCATATTCAGTCATGCTGTATAACTTTCCTATGCCTGCAGTGTAGCTTGGCGTCCTTGTAACAATCATCACCTAGAATTGGAATACTCCCTACTGAAGACGAACAAACTTTGGAATGCGCCAAGCTGAGAATCGGTTTAGGAGAAACTAAAGTTATGATATCGCACTTTGTGTCTCGGTACCGCCCTTCTGATGGTATAAAAATAATGTGAATCTCTTCCTGCTTCGCACTCGTGACGCGCAGCCATTGTCTGTAATACGTGGGTGCCCGGAATATTCTGTTATTAAAAGCTTCGAAGGAACTGTTCATCGACTCCAGCCTTTATTTAGATTACCAACATTCTCCTCGTCCGAAATTCAACAAACACGTGGGGGAGAGGAGGCCGCTCTTCCCCCAACAGGCTTCACAACAAAAACTATGGTTGCAGGTAGGCTACGAATCTAGATCCAGTCAGTGTGATGTGAGGATGCTGTTAAGGAGTCACATACAATAAGAAATGGGGACGTGAGCTATGTGAGAGACAACTTCAGGAATTACTGTGGCCTACTATAGTGTTCGTGAAAAAGAGCCATCAATTTACTATTTGTTCACAGACACCCTGCATGCTCTTTTTTTGACTTGGTTTCCTGTTCTATTGTCTGATCCCGAGCTTCCGAATCATAAACGAAGGCTTCTTACATACATTGCTTTTCTTGCGCGTGCATTGAACGTCACTCGAGTCGAACCACCGCACCCGAGGAGCGGTGAAGAGCCCTTCTTAAACCCGATCATAAATATTTCGGCTTTAAAAATCATGACTTCAAAGGGCAAGTCACTGATGTCTCAGCAGCGCTCACAAGAAAATGAACAGTACAACAGAATGTTTGGACAGCAAAAAACGGTAAATACATCGGATACATGTTGTTCGATGTTCATTCCTCAGTGAAAGGATACATCAATATCAACATGTGACTCGAGGAAAAAAAACAACTCACCTTCTTGCATTTCAAAAGGTGATAGGAAAGGCGACAAGCCCGGATCTGGTGACTTTTATCGAATGGACACTGCTGAAGTTGATCTGGATCAAAGTTTGCCTTTTCAACTTTAATATGAGACAACAAATGATCACGTTATGTTCACTGTGAATGATGCAGTCGAAGTTGTGCTGTTTTATTTACCGGGTTCTACATCCAAAGTTCTCTTTGATGTGCGGGCCAGCAGAGATGGTCCAGTGCTGCTCCCAAACCTGATGGTGGTCATGTTCCCAGATGGCCTTTGAATTATAAAATAGTCGGAAATCAGATTTGTTTATGTTGCCAAGATCCCTTGGCAACATTTGTAAGATATTTACCCGGCGTGCAAAGATGTGTTTCTTAGACCATGACGTAACTTATTGATATGAAGTTCAAGGATTGGAAAGCGAGTGATGTATCACTTTTTTTTTAACAATACAATTTGATACATTGACGATTTTGATCATTATTGATATGGCAACAAGAGCTTTTCTGCAAATAACCCTAAACTAATTGGAGGTAACTCCACATAAACAATGGAATTTTCTAAATTGGATTTTATTTTAAACACAACTCTGCTTTGCCATACCAAAACGTAAACAAAAAACAAACCCAAAATCACAAGCGAGTTCTCTTGATATTCCAGTATAAACACGATCCACTGGTGAAAAGGGCACTTTGAGTCGCTCCTCTTTCATCTATAACTGCTTCAGATGAAAAGGACACTTTGAGTCACTCCTCTTTCATCTACAACTGCTCCAGACAACAAAGTGTATGCAGGAAAGTAGTTAAGATTGCACGATTGTCTGTGTCTAATGTGTTGTCTTGTATTATTTTGTCATTTTATGTTAACTTTTCTTTTGATGGCGGCGCGGGCACCCGCAGTTGCTCCTCTTGTTGTATGTTGTGAGAGGGAAGAAATTTCATTTGTGCTGTATGACATACAGCACATTTCACAATAAAGTTGTACTTGACTTGATACTTGATAGTCTACATTGTCTGGCAGCAAGATAATACATAGATTTCACCCAACCAACTTATCTGTTGAAATTTAAGAAAGTTATAGATACTAATAGCAGTTGTAGTGAATCAAGCGAAACAGGCCATTTGTTTAAACACAAAACAGCTGTGGCATAATTTGACAGAATTTATTACAGATACATATTTCCCCCCTACTTCTCCCTACTTAAAAAAAAAAACAAAAAAAAAACATCTTATTTGGCATTGTTGAATATGATAAGAGTGCCCATGCACAATTTTACTGAATAATCATTTCAGTAAAAGTCTACATCTATACATCAAAATGCACGCATAGAAAACCAAATTCTGTTGATTTTTTCGTATACATCATTTTTCAAATTTGTTTGTACAACCCGAAAATCTCTGAAGATATATAATTATTAGAAATTCTAAAATATAATTAATTTGGTCTCCGTATCGTATTTTGTACCTCTATATGATTTGGATACATTTTGAAAACTCCCTGGCGTGTTTTAAGAAGTTTATAATGTATAGGTTGGAATATTCTTCATACATTGTATATTTTGTTCTTGCCAACAAATTTAAAAAATCTCCCCCATTTTGGAATGGTTAAACGTGCAATACGTACAGTCTGGTAGTCGACGTGAGAAGTTGGGACGAGGTGGCACAAGTGACCGCTGACAAGATGAACGCGACGAACTTCGTTGGATTGTGGCAACACTAATTTAAACAGAAATACGTGAACTATTGATTCCTCTCACAATACCATTAAGGTCTTATTCGGTCCGCTTTATGAGGTCCTAAAAGTGCATTGTCGCCATCACCTGGACTGGAGATGTCACTGCCGTTCCTGTTTATTCTGTTTTCCTCTCCAACCTCATTCAGTCCATTAATCAAGTACTGTACCGGTATTTGTACTTAGTCAGTTGACTTAAATACATGTCTTCAATGCTCCTATAGTTTTTATTTGAGTTAGGGTTACTCTGTCTGTCTCATGGCGAACCATGAGTCGCCTCGGGCCCCGTCTGCCTAAGGGAACGCCAAAAGACATTTAAAACAAAAACGCTCGTCATACTTGCCAATTTTGCCGATTCATGCGGGAAACTCCGCATGAATCATTTTTCATTTTCATTTTCCGCGAGTGCCACGATTTACAACGAAAACAAAATTTATATTGTGGTGAATGTGAACCGACACCTCTTCGCCAAGGGGGTGGGAGACTGCTTATTTTCAGCGAAGCCATGAGACAACTCATCCTCAGACGCCGACTCGTCAATACAGTACAGTATTTCGAAACAGATTTAACGCCTCCTCTACTGTATAGTTTTTTTTATTGGCCACGGTGACCTCAAAATCCAATGCCACCGCTGGTTGCTATGGAAACCCGGCGTTGTCGTCCCCTGCGTTTCAAAAGATTTACATCAACATGAATAGAGCCGTTCTGGTCGTGGTAGTTGAAGGAATGATGACTCGTAAATATAATCCATTCATGGCGGGGGAGTGCTGGAGCCTCGGGCTGAAGGGGGTCTACACTTTGAACTGGTGGCCAGTCCGTCGCAGAGCACAATAGTAAAACATTTTCTTTTTTTAATACGACGAAATTACAGCATGTGATCGCTCTCTCTCTCTCTCTCTCTCTCTCTCTCTCTCTCTCTCTCTCTCTCTCTCTCTCTCTCTCTATATATATATATATATATATATATATTTCCCCTAAAATTTCAAATGATAAGTGATCAAACATATGTGTGTACAGTACATACGATTGTGTGCACGTCACTGACTAAATATGCTCAACAACACAGTCAACTTTTGTTCCGAATCAGCTTTATATTACTACAGCAGTTACAACGCGAATCTCTTCTCATTCATTCCCGCAGCTTTTGTCCCGCCCATCGAACGCTCAGCGTCTCTGAGAGTCTAAGGACAGTGGGCGTATATGGGCGGCCCCGGACGCTGAGCTTTTCTGTATGATGATTGGATGATCTGTCTGAGGCGGAATGTCTTTTGATTGACAGCACAATGAGCCAATCACCGATCTTTTAGTCACGGCATCGTTGGGAGCATTTTTCAAATCTTATTCTGTTCTGAGTTGAGCTGAAGACTTTTATATGTATATATACACACACACACACACACACACACACACACACACACACACACACACATATAATGCATTGCTGTGTAACCTCATTATTTATCTTTGTCTAGTACTTATTTCATAAAATAAAACAGCCGGAGCCAGAATCAAACCCTGCACCTCTGCACTGTGAGGCTGATGTGGTAACCAGTTGTCCACAATACCTCCCAGGAAAAATCTCATATCTCAAAACATTTTAAATAATTTTCTAACTGATCATAATGTGGCTGGCTCGCAGTCGATCACCGTTCCGCCCGATAGATGAACAAAGATACATTATTTTGTCGAACAATTTTTGGAGTACATGAAATTGGATAAGTTCATAGTATTTACAGCAATAATAATCATGATTGTTATCATACTAAATCTTATCGACTCCATTATTTTTAAGTTATACTGTATTTTTTAAGTTAGATCATTGATCATTAAAAAAAAAAAATCACATGCTTGTTGTTTATGACGTGACAGATGAAGGAGTCAGGCATCCATCCAAGAGAAAGAACGAATTAGTGTTAAGGAGCTCATATCCCATTAACTTCTTAGCATGTACGTTTTCTTTTTTTAACGTGACTAAACAAAGTTCTGCGAGCTGGAGATGCCAGTGAGTTGATGATTGTGAAGCACAAACACATTTGCTGTGGTGTTTATTCAATATAACAAATTCTTCTCTCCAAAAAAACCAAACCAGGAAAACAAAAATCACAAAATCACAACATGTATGTGGCACTACACTTTTTGTAAATCCAAATAAATAGCCAGCATTTCAAAAGACTTTACAGGACACCGCCGTGAAAAGCAATTGATTAATTCATAGTCTGTTTCATAAGGCCAGCGGAAAACTGCCAGAGGTAGAAAGAAACAGAGGAATCTTTGCAACTGTGACAGCTGCAACGTGGAAAAAAAACTTCTTGGAAATGATACACACTCATCGACGGTGAAAGCGATGTCACATGATGATGAGTTAGGAGTAAACTTATTTCAGATGTCACATAGAAACACACAGAAGTTTCTGTGGTCCTACCTCAGACTTGGGCAAAAGCAAGCAAACAAAAGACCTGAATCTCAAGATAAGGTACAGTACCGGAATATGAAGGATCATAAGTAAACGTTCTTCCCTTTCACTTATGCAATTGCATTTGTCTTCCTCATTCTGCCATTCCTGTTTCAATCTCAGAACGAAGAAACTAAGTTCTCAATAAGTGGAATGCGGTACTTGTTTGTACTTATGAAAAAAAAAACAGTTGCATGCTTCACTGTAATTTGTCTTCCTCTTGGAACTGACGTTGTGTTCATTTGTATTTAGTTTTCACCATGTTTGACAGCTGCACATGGTGTCTGACGGTACCAATTTGCATTTAAAGTGAGGCCTCCGTCTGAAAAGCTCTCGCCTGTAGACTGAGCTCGTCATGTTCCGTCTTGATTGTGTTTCAGCTCCAGCTGCGGTGGAGGGCGTTTCCCTCCAGTGTGCCGTGTTTCCCCATCAAGCCTTGCTGTGTATTTAACGACTGCCTAGCTGCTTGGTCATTGTCGGATTGTTGACCACGCTCTCTGTTGTGTTTCAAGTGTTGCTTTCTCGACCTCTCGATACTATTCGTAGTGGCTCTCGTTGTGTTCACAGATCCTTGCTTGTAAATATTTTTGTTATTCAGTTGTTGCTCTTGATCAATGTTTTCGTGTGATTGGACTTTTGATATTTCGTTTGTGTATTCATGGTGTTCTATTGAACCTTGCCTTTGTAAGTGCTTTTTGTTTTCGGTATTGTTTTTCCTGGCTCCTTGTGACCAGCGATTTCAGTTTATACTTTGTCGGTGTGATTTTTTTCTCGAATAAATATTTCTGCAATCACACTTTGTCTGAGCCTGCATTTTTGGAGACCAAATTCATTATTCGGGGCAGTCTGAACCTGACAAAGCTCAGGAATAGCGAAAATATTTATTGATAAAATGAGCAGATTTTTTTTCCTGTGGATTAAAACGATGTTTTAAGATTTTAAAATGATGTCAATCAAATGAACAGACAAAAAGCCTCCCTACTGTACATATGACTCCCATTGGGCCTCATTAACAATTGTGAATTTTGTGTGTATAATTTGATGCACAGCTCTGTGATTCGCTAACAAATGTATGTTCCGACTTGAATTTGTTATTACTCTGCAGACAACTTTAGACAATGCATATGCAGAAATAATAAAGGGTCAGCGTTTTTTTTGGGCGGGGGGGGGTTAAAAAAACACTTTTTTTAACCTAAGATGGTCAACATATTTAAACAACATTAATTAAAACGGTAACAAAAATGACTGAAAATGGAAATTTGCTGATGAGTTTACAAAATGTCCATGAGATGGACTCTTCTCCACCATACATGTACTCACAACCTTGAAGTTTCAATTTAACACTAAATGTACAATACAACATATGGGCATGTCAGTGAAATAAAACACTCATCTTCACTCATCCATTATAAGACAATATCAAAAAGGGACCAAAAAAAATATAACCTGTAAATGACAGTTTAATGTCATCACTTTAACATTCGTTCCATTCGCATATGCCAACTATGACTGAGTTTCTGATTATAGCCATTATTCGCTCCTCTCGTGGAGTGAGATCAGGTGTCTTCTTTCAATTTCCTTTTCGTTAGTTCTCTTCTCCGATGTCCCTTTCTTTCCATCCAGCTTAATTCAGCCACATTTTTTTCACAGGGGCCACGGTGCGGATGTCAGGTGACACTACATTGACAGCCTCCGTGATCGAGGCCCAGTTATGGATTTTGTTTGTCATCCACACTCTGGTGTAAACCCTTTGAATAAGCGGCATTTTCTTTGCTTACATCATTGACACGATAACTTCAATTTCCGCCTTGCCGTAATGTCTCTCGTAACTTCAAACCTCCTCGCCGATCTCATTTTGATGCATTAAACGGATGTCCTTATATAGGAGATTAGGGGTGGGATTGATGCAGATTGCAGATCGCAGGCATGAGCCTATCAATTAGAATGAATATGCATGGTGGGGAGAAGAAAATATGCCGCACGTCATGAATCTAATCATGATTTTGCGTGTACACTGAACTTGTGCACAGAGTAAGAACATTTCTCTGCATTTGGTAGTGAATGAGGCCCAAGAGAATGACTCACACCATAAAACAAATCGAACAAAGTCCACCACAACACTCTCACATCAATTCCATCACTTCAGCTTCTGTCCTCTTCGTTGTGCTGTGAGATCAGCGAACTGATTGTCCTTCACTCACAACTGTGCTCCGCAGTCTGGGATCTTGTGACTTTGCTCCGGTTGGACGTTTGTCGCTGAGTAGATCGAAATGGACGAGCAAAGCAGAAGGTTAGGGTGCTGCCGGAGCTGCAGTCATAATTTCCATCCTGGTTGGAGAGACAAAGACGAGTTGAATCTATTTGCTCTGAACCAGCACGCACACACGCAGGTGTGGTCCTGCCTGAGGCTCAAACTCAGGTGGAGTCGAGTGCACTAACTATCTAGAGAAAATGCTCGGGCTGCACCAACTTTTGAGGTGAGGTGAGTGAGGTTCAACCAATGCACATTTGCACAGTGCAAGGGCATCTGTTACAGTGGCATGCAGTAAGGGAGAACTGGGACTATTGTGCTCAACTCACCTCTGCCATGGGAGATCTCAGGCTG